TCAGAACATCCGGACTGTTGACATACCTGGTTAGTGCTTTGCGCAGCAGTCTATGACATTGAAAGGAAAACCCTCGTAGGCCTATTGGCTACCAAGCCAATGATCTGGAAAAGTAAAGACTTATGGGCTGCCCGGCCTATGGCCTTGAGGGATAAAAGTTTTATATACAGGTACAAGAGGCTACACCTACAATGAGTCTCCGTAGCGTATTCTAATATAGTGTGGATGTGGATGGATGGATAGATGGAAGAATGGATTGATTTTCAAGGTGCTGCATCCAACCTTCCAGACAGCACAACAAAGTCAAACTCCACTCTGTCTACTTTCGTTAGGGCCATTACAAATCAATAACCTACCTGTATAGAAAATAAACATGATCAATATTCATCCATGATCCATGACTTTTTGAACACCCTGTATGCTTAAGGTTGATATGAGTGCTTATCTATACCAGGAAAAACCTCTCAGTTTATTGGAAAAGCTAAAATATATAAGGCGTTGTGTGCGCCATTTCCAGTCATTCTTCCTGCGAAGGTGAGTCAATTTGTTCTTAGGGAAGAAATACGGTTCATCTTAATATAAACTGTGATGTGGCAAGTACCAAAAGGGAGAAGATACGTCGATTTGAAATAGGTGAGCTTCTCTTGTCATGCCTGTTAAGTTGCTGTCTCGGTTAATTTTAAATGCTGGTGCTTGAAGTGTGTCCGAATTGATCTTCACCAGCTCCTGAGTGACAAGGTAAGTATTAAATGTAAACGTTCGCTCCATTGAGCCCGTGGCTTTATGGTAGTTCTTGCTTTTCATACAGAAACTGATCGTTTTAATAGAGGCAGTATCAAGTCCCTCTAGCGCGCTTAGGATTTGAGGTTGAGGCTAAAGAAATTCCTGTGATCTTTAAAATGTCATTAGATAAACCTGTATCAGAAGACGATTGGGGCCAAAAAAAAAAAAAACGTCAAGAAAATAAATATATTTAGGCTTGCAAACACGCTGAAGTGATTCTTGGAGTGTTCATTCGATCTCGAGGTCTCCTCACTGATCTTCTGCTACATTGTACCTGCAGAACCCATGTGAATAATTGGGAAAATCCAATTAAAGTCATTTCCAAGCATTCAGACAATTGGTCGCAACCCTGTATGGTCCGCCTTCTGATTAACTTAAAGTCTCCCGCTTATATGAAAAAATATATGTAGAGTGTTCGTATTTAAATGCAATATAGGGAATGTTTTGCCGCCTGTAGATGGACTTTGTCGAAGGCTATAAGGCCCACTGGGTTGCATTTCTGCTAGGAAACACACCAATGATAGGTTTCATCCTTATAGATATGCGACCCGTTGAACTGTAAGGCAGGCCCTGAACTCCACAAACAGGTGGTAAAAATGTTCCTATGTTGCGTTTAAATACGAACACCCTGTATGTACTTGAGGTGATCAAAGCGAGGTCCTCAAAATGGCCCTCATGCTTCCCCCATCATAAGATGATGTATTCTTTGTCAATCGATTCAGCAAATTTATTTGGTAAACAATACTTCTTAAGTTGCTCAAGAAAAACTCGATCTAAGAGTCTCAGGAAATGTCCTTTTTCTTATCTTGGTCAACGGTTGTGAGAGAAACTTGATGCGTCTTATTGCACTTTCTAATACTGTAAAATATTAGGTTTTGGCCTTTGAACAGGTAGCAAATTGCACTCGAAGGAAATTAACTATTGGCGATGTAGATCTTGACAGTATATGAGAGGAATGATATTCAGTGGAGTGTAAAATAAATTGTCCCTAAAAATATTAACTTTCCAGAGTATCTCTCCTGCGGTTTCGAGAGTGCTTTTCTGAAACCTTCTCGAAGGTCAAGGAGAGGCAATATATAGCAGTAAGCACGACAACTCTGGAAAGTGTCTTTGAATCTGCTGAAAATGGTGCATAATTAAAGTGCTAACACTGTCGATGAACCGATCAGTCGTCGTGCATTATTGGAATCTGGCTAATAGTTGTGTTGCCGAAATTGCCCGTCGAACGAAGATGACCGTAATGTAGGAGTACATAACAAGGATCACTCTGATAGGAGTATGCCCAATGTAATGTCATTTTGGCCCTTAAACAGAATTCAATGAGTCATATATCATTTGAAAGGGTGTCCTTTGCTGAGTAATTAAATACCACTTGTATTCTAATCTGAAGGGTTTGAGAAAGTTAGGTTGGGTCAGGTCAGGTTAGGCTAGGGTATGGTATGTAACGATCAAGTAATTTTGTATCAGTTTTCTTGATCAGAACACATACTTTTAACAGTTTTGAGGCGTGGGAACTGCAGACTACCAAGAGAAAAGCAATATATAAACAAATGAATTGTATTTTGTAAAATCTTATTGTATCTAAGCATCATATTTACTTGTATATCATGGATCATACATATAAGCATTCTTGGTAGATTTTTTCATTTCCTAGCTGAAATTAACAGTTTACTTTTTAAATGATGTTCTTTCTAAGTTGTTAGAATGCAGAATGCAGAATAGAAGTTATAATTCATTGGAAGTCCGAATTGAAACCAGGAAAATCATTAAACCTGACCTAACTTTTTGAAACCCATCACATTTGGATGAAAATTATATATTTCTCGTTCACAAGTGAAACCAATTACATTAATATTAACTTCATCAAAATCGGTTTAAGGCCAAAAATGGGCTAACTTAGCCTAACCCAACCTAACCATAACTTTAACCTAACCTGACTTTTTGAAACTGCTCAGATATGAAATTGAACTGTATTTTCAGGTTAGCCTAAGGACGCATTCTTGAATATATGCACATTTCTTTGAAATATGATTAAGGACCGAATCTGGGCATACTCCTTTGTAGCTACTTCCTGAAAACTTACTGTGTCCTTAAAAGCTTAGCACCTGAGTGTCATCTTCTGGGCAGGCCAAATGCCACTTCTCATGCCTGTACCTTAAGAAGATGAAGAGTTGTGCTAGTTTTCCTGTTGCAACTTTTCTGCCTTTATGATTTGAAGATTGAGTCCACTCATGAAGGTTTCTGATGGATGATCCTTTATGACCTCCGAGTAGGACTGGATTTCAAACAATTCCATGAGCCTCCAGGCGGAGGCATATGATAACTAAGCTCCTAACATTTCCGCCGTTTCTACGTTGTTCCATTCCGCCGCTGAGCCACCGTTGAAGTTGATTCTCAACCGGATCAACATCCAACTGTAGTCACAGAATTGATTGAGTTTTTCCAAAAATTTTTGCTGACCTACTTACTCATGCTAATATAGGAAATCAATTGAGCGTTGGTTCCTCGGGTGTCTCCGACATTCAGCATTGGCATTTGGGGCTTCACAAAATTGTTTCCTGTTGGGTACCGCACACCTCTTCAGACTTTCAAAGCGAGATCCGCGTGAAATTGTGTAACGACACGCCCAAATAATTCGACAAAGGTCGATCAAAACGTGTTTAATCTTGTCACTGAAGATTAAACTTGGATTTATGAATTTGATCTAGAAACCAAACCTTTGAGCACAATTTGAACATTTCATAGTGATCAACCACCCATTGAATTCCGTCTGCCCGCACTGTTGGTATCCAACTTCCCCCTCGAAAGCGGGCTACCGTAAATGCTCAATGGTACAGAACCATGCTTTCGGTCTTCAAAGCTGTCCAGCATCAACGTCCAAAACGGGGACTTTGGAGGTTGCTGCTGCACCAGGAAAATGCTCCGTGGCACGCCGCAAAGAAATCGTTGGACTTCCTGCCAGTCATGCTCAAGCATGGCCGCATCCTCCTTATTCGCCCGATTTAGTCCCTTCTGACTTTCTTTCTCCCAAGTGCAAGGAGCAATTCCGTGGTGGCCGATTTGAGTGCTCTGAAGATGCTGTGGCTGCTTATGGGGACACATTGGTTGACCTAGTCGAGCAGGATCGGTGCAGCTGCTTTAATTTTTGGTTTCGACGAATGCAATGATGCGAAGATACCCAGGGTCCTTATTTAGGGAAGCGGTAAAAATTTTCAGCTAAAATCTTCCTTAGTGAGGGAGCAGCTACGAACTTCCAGAGTGACCCTCGTATGTCTTGCGATGACGCTAACGTATGATGAGACTTAAGGACAGTTTTGAAATCGATCTTTGGGTTCCAAGAAGTAGCGAGACAACGAGGGATAACATTGTATATTGTAAGAGAACAGAGGCCAGCATGTGTCCAGATGGACAGTGCAGCGTCACCTCGCTTATTTCGGTTATATGAATTTTTCCCGAGTGACGCCGACGCTGACTAAGACGCGAAAAGGAGAGGCAAGAACAATGGACGCTGCAACATAAAGACGACGACTAGAGCCGGTCGGTGTACTCTGAAGAAACCTGCTTTCGATTGCTTAGAAATTGATACATCAGTGGTAAAGAACGCTCTACATCACCGCTGCCCAACCTGCAGACCGCGGTCCGGATCCGGAACACGGACTTCAATCCTCCAGACCGCAGGACTTACATCTTTCGATTTCTTTGCCCGATTTCCTTTCGTCCTCCCCATAGGCATTGGTGTGAACTCATTCACTCAGCTGACAGTTACGTTGACCTTGACAAGGACCGAGATAGAAAGGCGTAGGATTTCGAGGTTTGATTGCCACTCCTTCTCTTGTTTCCCTATTGTGCCCCGTGACAGTAATCACCAACTCCTCGAGAAAACGAAAGGTAGATGACGAAAATCGCAAATTCACAGACGGCTGGATGGAGGACTATATTTTCATCTAGTCTAATCTAACCAATCCAAAACCTCTTCGTTTCATATGCCCAGCTACATGGAATATGCTCCAGTGGCGATCTACTCCACTTCCCAACTTTGCGATGTTTTCAAGACGAGTGCGACTTGACTCAACCGTTGTCATTCGCATTCAAATATTTTATTTTATCATTGTTCAATGACGTTAATTGTCGCTTCTGTGAGTTTCGCAAAAGCCAAGAAGTATTCTTGCGGATAAAAAATCCATTTTTAGCTTCCCTGCAAGGGGCTTGGGCTGAAGATGCCAAGTATTTGTTCCCATCTCCCAATCTTGCTGATCTGCAGCTGGAGCTGCCTGACATTGAAGGTCAAGCATACACAATTCCCAAGAAAGTCTTGAAAAGTCTTGGAGTGAACCTTGCCTCCTACCAAGTACCCACAATTAAAGGAGTTGACCGATAGGTTTTGACAATTTTTGGGTGCACCTACATATGTGAAAGTGCGTTTTCAACTTTGAACATTCTGAAGAACCGGTGTCGCACTTCCCTGACCAACGACCACCTACATCGGTGTCTTTGCGTCCCACTGAATACACTCACACCAGACTTCAAGAAAATTGCGCATGATATCAACGTACAGCTGTCACATTGAGATTTTACTTCTGGACCGACAGGCCTCTATACTCTTTAGTTAGTGGACCATCTGATAGTAGTAATAGTTGAGCACCCCTGATCTAAAGGAACCCAAGAGAGGTCCCAAAAGCTAGCAGAAGATCATGGCATGGGAAGCATCAGCAATAAAAACCATTTTTTAAATAATCATTCAAATGGATAATGGACGGTCCCTACTGAAGATGTACTTCAAGAACAACTTCATTAAGAGCCGCCCATTCTCCTTGCACGTAGAACAACAACGAATCGACGCATCGAGAATGAACCAATTGATCGCACCGATGAAGGAGAGATGTTTAGATCATTTTGAATCAGGGGAAGATTGATTTTGCACTTTCGTAGTATATTTTATCGAGAACCGGTTAACAATTTTGTATCAAAATGCATCATTTCCAGCAATATAAATTTTTCAAAATGTATCGGCAAATCTTTGCACTCCACTGTATCTGCAGTGGTGGAATTGCTCAAGGAAAAAATAAAGCATTTGTGTTCCTTAAGCGATGGCGAATCGTTCAGAAGAAGAGGAGCTCCTCGTGGATGGAAGGACAGTAGCTCAAGTGATTGCCGAAAATATTGAAGGTTTAATATTCATTGACCATAACGCAGTGATTGCATCTTTGCTGAGAAAACAAGTGATCGATCATGTTGAGAATGGCGAAATTATGGACAAATCTCCGATGGAGAAAATACGATTTCTTCAGGAAAAACTCCCACTGAAAGGAGACACTGCATTCCAGAAATTTTTGGAGAGTCTCAAAGAGAGAAATCACTTGAAACTTGCCAGGAAAATGCGACGTGGTGAGTTATAAAACTTACGTGCCTATTGCTTTCATTTATCGCCTCTGGCCGACTGGAATGCTTATGCCCGAATATTATGCGATGTATCACACTTCCAACGTGCTTCTCGGTGGCTAAATAAGTGATTTCCGGATGGAAAATTCATCTTTCTGAAATGTTCCCAGTAGTTTAATTGGCCACATTGCTGAAATAAAACCGCGACTTCTTTACCACTTTAAATTAAACAGATATTTCATCCGAAATCCGCTCAAATAGAGCATGAAGTTTCAACTACGAATCGAAAAGACTTAACTTTTAGAAGATCATTCCGATCAGCAGCTTAATTCCTGTTTGAAAGGGTGCCACCACGAAAGAAAGTGCTGATACAAAAACAGTAGATATTTCGTGTATCCAGATCCACTGCAGTGACCTTCCTCCGCACGGTTTATTTATTCTCGAATGTTCTAAGATACAGAGCTGATGCAGTAAGTTCCTGGATAAATGTTGGAAGATAAGGGAGACTTCGGCATATTTCATATTGGGCAACAGACGGGATGTTAAATGCGCGCACTTGAGGGTATTTATGAATAATATAGGAAGCTGTTTTTTTTTTCTGGGCGCCAGAGTGAGAATTGCTATATTGGCGGTTAGGCACCATATTGGGTCGATTGGCAGAACATATTTTCTGCCAAGATGATGATGGATAACTCCATTCTTAGACAGCGTTGAAACTATGATGAAGGCAAATGTGAAAAATGAATTTGCACGAAACAGCATTCAAGCGACTTCGCCAACCCATGTGTAATTCTTGCTGAAAATTATGTTAATTTCGAAAAGAAGACATTTCATTGAGTTCTAATCGTATTCTTTGCTGAATTCTTAGCTTCAACCACGTCTTACCTTTTCAACCTATGATCAATGCTGATCCTACCTTGTTGTTCCGAGTGGGTAGAATATCCATGACACCCAGGTACAATGAAACCTTGAAGTAGGTCTAGACAAAGCAACACATTCAGCCTGACATTGTCTCGACTGTTGTCATGCGATCTTTTCTTCCTTTCTCATCTTTTCCCTAGGAAAAAGTCAGGAAACATCTTAAATGGAACATGTGCTAATGCCGATAGCTGTATGATAACAGAACCGCGGACCGCGGACCCGAGAAGAAATGCGAGATTCGATGAGAAGGCAAATATAGAAAACTGGTGTCGGACAGTAATCTCGAAGCAGTTATCAAGACCGTACAGAGATGGCGCCAGGGCACTCTTAGCTCAGATTGACCACAGTAGGATCAAATGTCAACATTTTTGCAATATAACTTACATTTGAATTCTAACCGAGGAGATAAAGAGCTTTCGAATGATTATCACCCAGGAAGTTGGGATCAAAATTAATATGAATGGAAAGATAGGCAGGACTGCCGCTACTGACATGAGTTTCTTTTGCTGGTCAGACTTGGATCTTCTTTTAACGATTTTTTCTGCAGAATGCATGGACTCATCTAATGGTAACCAGGACACCACAGTTCGTCAAAAATATTCAACCCTTCATACTTCCAATGGTAATTTCAAAGGAGGCCAAAGAAGGTAAGTCTTCCTTTCTCACTCTGATAAACCAATTTGGCTACTGCAGCACTTTGTACCATGAGCCATTCTCTGCATCTTCATAACCCTAAAACACAAGGTATAATAAATATAGTGTGAATCAAGATTGCTGGCCACCTTTAGAACTATAGCAATATCTCAGCTTCAAGTTCTAATAAAGATGCAGCTTTCACCATTCGAAAGACTCGTCATATCTGTATCTAAGTAGAATATCTTCACATACATTTTTCTATGGTATCCTTCGGAAATTACATTCCAATTCTGTGGGACTAATAAATGCATTACCATCCGATAAAATACTTGCATTAACGTGCCTAGTTTACCATCCCACTGAGGGCATCCAGATCGGGGAAGGTCTACTACGGTTCCCATCCTGTTAAAATTCCAGCTGATATGGGCAATAAACATTCGGCTCATAGTTTCTCCTATGAATTTTTCCTGAATTGTCGACCTGTTTTCGTCGAATTCTGAGTGAAGTGGAACATTGGCATCTCGTTTATCAATGGTCGGTCAATCGTTTATTAGCCGTTTTCCTTAATTCTCTTTGATTTGGAATTGATCACAACCAAGACACAATAAATCTAACACTCGATCAGATAATTGGACACTGTGCCCCAAGCGTATTTTCAGGTGTCAATGCCTCTAAGTAACCCCCATAATAGGAGTTTTATTTTCGAAGTATACGATTGGTGCCATTAAAGTATGCAATTTCCAGACAGAATTGTCGAGTCTTTCGGATGGTGAAAACCGCATCTTGATCAGATCTAGTGTTGATACGTTATTTACATTCAATAGATGCGCAGGACTTTTGACTCGCCCTTTCTGTTCAATAGAGACTGGAAACGGGAAAAAGTCGCATGGGGCAGTACCCTTCTTCATTCTGTCCAAGAAGGCTTCTCTGCCTTAAAATTATGGCCAAGAAAAGCGCTATATGTCTTTCTTCATAAATATACGCTTCCCCTTCGATCAAATTTGAAAATTGTAAGGAAAATGATGCCAAATTAATTCAAAAGGGCGGGGTTTCGAGCAATTACTAATTGAGGAGATGATCTCATATTCAGGAATGCATCTATGCCATTTTTCGTTAATAGGTTACACGAGAGTGATGATCTACCTGTAAATGATGGTGATGCAGTGACCACCCCAATTGCATTCATGCAGGTAAGATAGCTGAGTCATTACATGGAAGTCTACGTTTACTGCCTCTTCTGAATGTAATACTCGTACTTCCAACAGCAAAGAGACCAGGCCTTCTTGTATAACGTCACATGTCAATCCAGTTTTTTTTTCACAAAATAATCTCACAAAATATTAATAAGTTTCACTCATGTTCGTCCATTCTTTTTCGCTGAAGAATGTGTTGCAACAACTGATTAGAAGCGTTCACGAAGGAGAAAGTGTCTCATCAACAAATGCGAACTTTGGTAATAGCTTTAAAATGAAGTGAGCTGTATTTCTGTGAAAATAACAATACCCGTACAAAGAAATACATTCAGGCGCACATTCCGTCGAATTTCTACTTGCTTTGAACATGAGGGAGTCCACATTCTAAAGAGTTGACCGTTAAAAAGTCAGGTTTAAATTTAAAATATATCCTTTTTTATAACTCAGTGAAGACTTGAGGGCCTCCCAGTACAAGATGATTATGCTACTTGGCTTCACTGGATCCATACTAAATTGCATTAAACATAACGTTTCATTAGTGACATTACACATGCGGGTAAATAATTCTTTAGATTTCATTACAATGCATTTATTCACTTTTAGCTGGAGAATGAAAAGAAAAAGCTGGAAGCATCAAATAAAAAAATGGCGAATGGACTGGCCATGGAGAAGATAGAAAAAGCGCAGCTTGCAAAAGACCTCAAGGAAAGCAAAGACAAGGTCTCATGCTCTCTTATTTCCTTTTTTAACAGGCCAGAATTGAGAGAATTATTCATGATTGCAGGTAGAAGAACTGCTGTTGGAACTGCGGACCCTAGAGGAGAAAGCCGAGGATATTGAGGATCAGCTCAAGAAGGAACAAAATGCATATAGAGAGATAGAGAGGGATAAACGAGCAATCGAGAAGGAGCTCAAGGAAAGCAATGATCAGGTCTTACATTCTAGTCCTTTTCAACATATGGATCTGTCCACGCCAAATGGTGCGAAGAATCCTAGCAGGAACGTTCTCTGAATTCGCAATTATATTAGTTAATCTGCAATAATTCATAATCAATTTTTCCTGAAAGCATGACCGAAAGAGGATATTTCTTTAAATAGAGAGAGTTGATCATTTTAAGTATGGATTACTCGTACCATTCTCTTGATATTCATAGGAATGATAGAAATGGAAATCTTAGGAGATTGAATTAGAATACTCGAATTGATGCCAGCACTTATTCCATTCGGATAACTTATTTAAAAATTAGTTCAGATGTCGAGTGAGAAAGTCAATTGCCCACATTTGAACGATATTTCAAAATACAAGGTGTGGCAATAAAATAACGAGACTGACAACACTGTAATGCGTGTGGCAACACTGGGTCACTGGCGATTGTTGTAACCTGTCAGTGCATGTCTTAAGTCTCTGCAGTAACAAACTTCTCGTCATACTTCTAGTGATTGCAGGGCAGTACCACTTTAGTTAAAGGTAGTGTTAGGGGCACTCGTCAAAAAAGGCAGGTAATATTACGAGCAAAGAATCAACGTGAAATTTTAAATCAAATTCTGGAAAAACCAACTGAAGTCTTTGAAATGTTGAAAGAAGTGTACAGGGATTAGGTTATGTCCAGAACAAAATGTCTTGAAAAATGCAAATCCTTTTCTGAAGGAAGAGAGGAAATTGAGTTTGACCGACGACCCTGGACGTCCGACAACATCAAAATCGGATGAAAGCATAAAACATGTGAGAACTCTGGTGCGAAGCGATCGTCGTCTAATTGTGAGAATGATTGCTGAAGAACTGCGTATCGATAGAGAGACAGTACAATTCATTTTAACGGAAAGTTCAACAGTTTAAAGACTTCAGTTGTTTTTTTCCAGAGTTAGATTAGAAATTTCATGTTGATTCTTTGTTTATAATATCATCACCTATTTTTTTACGAGTGCCCCTCACACTACTTTAGGTAAAGTGGTATTGCTCTACAAAAACTAAAAGTATCATGACAATTTTGTTACTACACGGACTTGGACGTGCACTGACAGGTTACAACAATCGCCAGTGACCCAGTGTTGCTACACGCATTACAGTATTGTCAGTCTCGTTATTTTATTGTCAGACCTCGTATCATCAAAAGATAAATACTGACTTCTTGGTTTCAAATGAACTTCCACAAGTCACATCTGACATGATAAAAATTAGCCTTGTTAAATTTTCGGAGTTCTGCAATATTGGGGGGAACTAAGGCTAGTTTCAGGCTTTAATTTAATTTTGGGAATAATACTAACTTGATGGGTTCCAATTCATGAGTGAAATGTAATTATTTGAGCCAGAGACTCTATTGGGACGTTTCCTGAAATCCGACACTTACATCGCACAGATGCACCTCTAGCAAAAGAGAATATGAAAGGCTCTCAAGGAATTTTAGTAATTTCGTGAAGGAAAGTGTCAGCACCTATGAAAACATCTAGAATGCGTTCAGACAGGTTAATTTGTTACCTATGCAAAGCTCTCACTCTGGTCATGATTTATGGTATCATTTGTTCATAATTCGACTCAGAATCTGTCTGGTTCAGTTTTTCAGCATAGAACAATTAAATGCCTATTTCTCTTGCACGTTGTATGAGAAACACGTTTTCCCTATGTGCCTTAAGGAAAAGACTCCGGCTAGTGTCATCCACAACCCTTGCCATTTTTTTCTACTTTCTAATATATATAGACGATCGTGACTGACTGACGCTAATTCTAACCATGTTCAGAAGGTCCGGGTTCAATTCTCGACCATTCCTTGGCTTACTTTATGTGTTTTTTGCCCTCCAAGTCCCGTTACTCATACCCCAAAAGTAACATTATTTTTGCTTAAGTAAAGCGGAGAGACATGGAAAGCTGAAACTTGGCATTGACGTGCCTACCGAGACAGTGAGTTCAGGAAAAAGTAAAAAATTTCAGATTCATAGCCTTGGGGCATATTTTTGTGAGCCGACGTTTTCAAGTATTTTTTTGTACTGGCGTATTGAGCTAGTGTGGAAAGATGAAACTTGGTACATAACTATCTGTTGAGATGCTCCAGAAAACTTCAGACTTTAGAAGTAAATGCCCTGAGGGCACAACATTCAAAGGGAGATAATATAATTTTTCAAATAATTTTTTTGCATCAGTTAAACTGATGAACATGGAAAGTTGAACCTTTGCGTGAATGTGATTACTGAGAGAAAGAGTTGAATAAAAATGTTAAGTCTTGATACATCCCCAGGGGAATTTTTTCAAGGGCCGATGTTTTGAAAAAAAAAGTTGTGGCGAATTGGACAGATATGGAAATGTGAAACTTGGCACACGTATAAGTGACGATATTACTGAGCTGAGGGAGCATTAAGGTTTCATGGTGCATCCCCTCCAGGCATGGCTTTTCAGTGGGTATGCTTTTCCAAGCGTGTTTCTTCACCAGCGAAATGGGCAAACATATAATATTGAAACTTAATGGGCATGTAGTTCACCGGGCAGACATAGAAAAGTAGCTGGCGTACGCATCACTGACGTGATGTTGATATAAGGAAAAAATAAATTTTTTATACTTCTCAGAGCACGGCTTTTGGTTGAGTCGCTCTTCCAAATAATTTTTTTCCGCTAGCAAAAAGGGGAAACGTATGTGGCTCAAACTGGGTGGCATGGAGTTCCTTGAGTCTACATTTCAAAAGAAAAAAATTTCTCGTTAAGATCCATCAGGGCAATTTTTTTAAGTTCCATTTTCCTGATTTATTTTTGATTCAACGAAACAGAGACAAAATTTAAACTTCCCTTAAAAGTACCTATTTGATGACTGAGTACAGGAAAAATCCTACTTTTGAAATATGTTCCATTAGCGTAGATTATAGGAGTTAAGTATTTGAAAATGTATTCTCCACCCTTACTTAAAAGGACACATGAAAAGATTTCAAGTTAGGCAGTCTAGAAATCATAGAAGTAATGATTTTGATAAAAATCAAGACTTTCGTCCCCATATGTCACGTATTTCAATGGGGACGTACTTTAAATACGTGCTTGCCATTTCGAAAAACATAAATGCATTAATCACTATCTAAGGTAATGGAGCGCCGAAGGCGCGACCATAGCAAGTACAAAATATCGGTACCTATGGCATCAAGAGAGAAAACAAAAATTATTAAGATAACTTAGCTTATTCCCTTAGCTGTAGAACAGGTTTCATACCACCGGGGTTTGAGCTACCATATCCCCACAATTTGATCAAAAAAATCTGGTGTGGAATTACCACCTGGAACAATGACAGAAGTATCAACCTGACTTCATTCCTATTCTTGGCAAGTCAAAGGAGTAGACATGATCTCTTAGTAAACAGCTTCAGAACTGTTTTCCTTTTCTTCGAAGCTGCCTGGTCATATGGGGTCAATTCCCCCATCTTGGCGTCAATTTCTCAGTCATGAGTGTGACTATTGATCATTACCTACATACCCAGTAGTAACCAAGAGTAGATGCAGGGATTTAAATCAGGAAAAAAAAACGGCAGGCGTTGTGGAGGACACTGACAGGAGTCATCTCCCTAATGTGGATAGGGAAAACGTGCTTCTCACTAGGCGGGCAAGGGAAGTAGGCTCTCCAACAATCGAAGGGGGACGGATTTTAATTGTTGACGCAAAAAAGCCAAAGCAGACAGATTCTGAGTCAAATTTTGGACAAATGATGGCACAAGTTGTGACACAAGTGGGCGGTTTGGAAGGATGAAGGAATTTAAGCTGTCTGGGGATTTAACATATTTTGCAGATGATGCCATAGGTGCTGAGCATTCCGCTCCGGAAAAAGTATTGCAAGAATTTTGTAGAACAATGTTGATTTGTCTTTCATGATGTCTTTAAATACATGTCATGTACCAGACTTATTATTACGAATGTTTCGCCCGATACTTTGGACAGACCCATTTGTCATTTTCTGATGGATCGGAGGCGAGAGAATCGCTCATAATTTCAGGTAGAGGAGCTGCAACGGAAGCTGTCGCATGTGTTGCCTATGAAGAAGAAAGCAAAAGACCTTGAGGAGCAGCTCAAGAGGGTACAGAATGCGTACGCAGAGCTAGAGCAAGATACACATATGATTGAGAAGGAGCTCAAGGAAAAAATAGATCAGGTATCACATTGCACTTTATTCTCCTTTACTCCTGAAGCAAAACCGAGGGAAAAGTCTGGGTTTTGATAGGTCGACAAGCTGAAACGACAGTTGGCCAATGTGAAGGAAACGCCTGCACATTCCGGCGCAAGGAACCAAAGATCCTCTTTCCCTCCAACCCGAGCTGAGACGCCGAGTGAGGATGAAGTAGACTCGTTACAATCACAGCAAACTCGGGTATGCATGATTTACATTTCTTCAAAGTAATGGTTGTGCAGTAAGTTCCATATGCCTGCATCCCCACTCAAAGCGAAATCATTGTGACTAAGTTGAATAAACCTTGCATTTTTAAGCCTCACTGCTGAAAGCTAAAATTTTGCAGTCAGTAAATTCCTCTTTCCTTATATATAGTGAATTGAAGTAAGCCATCCGTATCGACTTGACTAGGCCAGAGGATTGAAGTTAGGGCGGGGCAACGTTGTAGGTATGAGTGGAATTAGGCCAAGGGCGCGGAAAGGAGAAGTGATGAAATAGAACGGACGTTGCTCTAGGTAAACGAGAGTTGAGGGAGAAAAGTTAGTCCAATGGCAGAAATTAGGAAATTTTGGAAAAGGGGACAAAATTGCGGAGACTTAGCTCTTGCTGCAACGAATTAGCGTCTACAATTACTCCTGTAGATATTCTGACTTCTAATCTATCCTTACCCGCCTAATTCGTCAAGCTTCTCCCGTAGGTTTTCTCCAAGTAAGACATCTGATATGTCAACAACCCCCATGGAATGGGCTAGTGTTATCGAAAGGAGGAAGGGCAAGCTTCATGGGCAGGGTGTCACTTAGTCTGCTCTGAATCTGAATTATCACTTAGTATGATGGTCTCATGTGCATCCCAGGATTATCATCCTGAGAAATTACTTCTTCCGCATGAACGCTGTTTCTTTTTGTTCCAGCTGGTTGTATACTTCTGCTCCTTCCCTTCCTCTCAGTTAAATCGGTTTTTCGCAGTTTTGTTCATTCAATCTCTTCAATACATGCCTATATTCCTGACAGCCTTTACAAGGAAGTTATTGCAAAGTTCTGCTCCTTCCCATCCTTTTCTCAACGAGCATACTTTTTTATGAGCAAACGGAGGAGCTGTGGCCCAAGATTGATTCCCTCCACGCGTATCAACTACTTTTCCACTGCTACGTTTCGTCGTGCAAAAATTATATTTGAGTGCCCCTCGCATTCTTGCCCCTGCGCTAAAACGACTGGAGAAAATTGAACCAGAACTTTATGAGGTCTAAAGGAATTGAAGTCCTTGCAATTTTTCGTCATGCTGTCTGCTATCTAACGAAGTTCATAGAATCTCAATGAACTGCATGTTCTTTCCCACACTCGGTATATTCCAAGGCTGTATTTTTTTCTCATTTGCGTTGGTGAGCCACAGCATTTTTTAAAAAGAAAATTTGACCCAATTTTAAATACTACTGTGGAAAACGATACAAGCGCCTTAGATTTCATAGGTTGAGTCAAAAATATACGGCGAGACTTTCCTTACGTACATTAAGTGAATTAATATCCTCTCTGAAGCGCAAGCTAAGTCAATGCTGCTTAAAACCTCATTGCGATTGTATTAATTATGATGCTAATTACCTCTATGGTAAAACGTGGATCACATTATTTCACCCTAAGTCCAATAATGATGTGAAATCAGCAAATGTAGTTTCTTCTTGGGCAGAAATAAAAAGGTGGGACCTGGTACACTCATAATTGACGTAATGTTGAGTGCAAGACAAGTTCAACTTTTGTGGTGCAGCCTTTCAGGGCACACCATTTGGGTGGGTCTCCCTTCCAAAGATACGAAGTAATTTTTATACCAGTACATAGGACAAACATCTTAGGCTGAAACCCTGGGCATGGAGTTTTTCAAGTACCAATTTCCGCATTTAATTTTTTTTTTAGATAAAACCCCTAAGGGCTTATTTTTTGCAAGAGGCGCATATTCCAGAATCTTCTTCGATGCAACGAGCTAGAAAATTGAAACTATACTCAAAAGTATATATTAATATGCAGATTGCATTTAAAAAAATCTTACTATGAAAAGCATATCCTTAAGTCAAATCATTGGATGTAATTTTTTTCATAATTCATTTTAAACTTTGACAAAGAGGGGCACATGAAAAGATTTGAATTTTGGCACATAAGAGATCATCTGAGAAAGGATTTCAATAATGGAAAATCTTGGTTATGCCCCCTCATAGCATTTATTTCAACAGGGACGTACTTTAAATACTTTTTTCACTTCGAAAATTAATCATCCAGGGTGTGATCCATCAACCAGGATAGCTAGTCAGCAAATGCTCTTGTATAACAGAATCATTGAATAGATCTGATATGAGATGAGGTCTCTGCATTCAAGTATGCTTAAGCCTTTTTCCGCCATGTGCATTCATGATTCAACAGGGAGAAAAGATGAGTGCAACAGACTCACTGAAAATCCTAATGACGTTCTACTCAGGAGAAATGAAAAAACTTTGCAAACTCAAACAAAACTCGACTAGATGGCTCTGGAACGCACCAGTTTTTTAATGGAGGCGTCCGCCTCTTTTTGGTTCTAGAAAAGAGGGAATTTCGGTTCGTTCACAGTCGCACATAGTCGTGCGATAACTGGCATGAAACCCATCCCCTGAGTATTCTAAATACATTTTGAGATTGGAGCCCTAGTAGCGGAACTCTGGATAATAAAGATAGCCAAATTGGAACCCCCAAAGCTCGAGATTAGTTCTGGGTGAAGATAAAGCAGGATGTTGCTGAGATGGGAGAGAAGATTAGCCCGAATTCCTGAGTTCATAGAGTAGCATTAAATCTTTGCCGCCTTGAAATCATCACATCGCAAGTAGTCTGTCATTGGCGCTGATGCTCCAAGGTAGTCTAGCTAACCGGAGTAAAATATGTACTTTCCCGTCGCTGCATTAAGCATTCACGTTTTTCTTATTAAGCTCAATTGACTTCTGTCTCATGACGTTCAAATGAAACAGAACTGTAATTTTGAACAGTTATATTCCCGATCGATAATATTGAGTGCATCCCATCATCCCCCACCCTACCCAAATATCTCTAAATACTACATTTCAAGGGGATTCGTTTAATGATATTCAAATAAGATACATCTTTACGATTTGGAACACTCTTGGCTATTAGATGAAAAAGGGAGATGTTTCTCATCGAGACACCCCAAAGGAGTATGCCAATTTCGCCACATAAACCAACATCAAATATACAGGTAGGTGCGTATTTTGAGAGGGCGTCCTCACCCAAGCCTAAATATTTAATTTTTTAATTTTAGCAATTTGAAAAAGTTGGGTTAGGTAAGATTATGTTAGCCCATTTTTGGCCTTAAAACGCTTTTGATGAAATTAAGATTTTTGCATTCAGTTTCACTTGTAAGCATGACTTGTATAATTTTTTTTTTAAATCCAAATTTGAATGGTTTCAAAAAGTTAGGTTAGGTTAGGTTAGCTTTGTGAAGTTCCCATATGACTTCCAATAAATGCCTTCTGCATAGGCAGCAACTTAGAATGTACTAGGTTTTGGAAGTACTCAGAGAACTTTATCTCGAATATTTACCCCTGCAGACCTCCAATGGGCAGACAGGAATATATCGACTATCATTATGTGCAGTACTAGCTGCGACCCCTGAAACATTGATGTATTTGTCTTTTGGAATTTTGGAAATTTGATTAGTCATATTTCCGACTAACGGTATTGGGTGCGTCCCATCATTCACCCACACCCACACTCCTCCCTTCCCCAACATCTCAATTTCCCTATCCGCCACTAGATGTTAAATTTTTATGGGGCTCCAATTTTCCATTCCCGAGTTGAGAGATTCTGTTGAAATGAATATTGAGTGAAAAGAATTGCTACTGCCATTAAAAGGCATAGCTCTACGTATAAATATTTTTTTGAAATTCTATTCCTGAGAGACCATAGTGAAAACTTTACAGGATGTCACAAAAAGTGTTTGTTATTATTATTATTATAGTGTAGAATATAGGAGGAATGTATTTCAAAATGTATTGAAGGCGCGACCGTAGCGAGTTTGTGAAGGGCAAACAAACTCACTAGTTAGTCAATATGTACCATGACATTCCTTTTTTTTTACCAGGCTCGGGTTCTCGCATGGTCTGATCTGCTCAGCTTCAACCTCAAGAACAAGCTGATTGTCATCCATATCTATTCACACACAAGTGTAAAAATATGGGAAGTGGAAAATATGGAGGGGAGAATTGCTGAGAAAATGAGTCATGCAATCTTCCTGGATGCAGACTTGGATGCAGACTGGACAAGGGGCTTCTTCTGGACTGACGCTCAGAGAAAAAGGAGCAATTACTTCCTTTTTGTGATGGCAGAAACAAAAGCAGATTTTAAATCCATTCATACCTTTTTTTCCCAATGGGGAATAACCCCATTGGGAAAAGAGTCCCAAAGCACATTGGTCACAAGTCCAAATTCCCCATATTTGGGAGTACCCATGTTTGGGTTGGTGGGAATGAACATACTAAATGGGCAAATTGGGTCCCAACTCAACTCTCTGCATGGTGCACCCGACGAATCATATTCTCTGAATGATATACCCAACCAATTATACCCTCCGTATGATTTACCCAACCAATCATATCGTCGGCATGATTTACCCAAATGGGTGCACCATACAGAGATATATGTCATTTGTCGGAATCATGAAGTGATGTGAAAAAGATTGACTTTACTGGAAATGAGATGTTAAGAATGGCAATAAATCAAATTCACTGAAGTTTTGCATGATTCATGAATTCAAGGCACATAATATCTAAGGATGTAAAAAGTAGTCACATAAGACAAAAAGACTGAATTGATTAGATACTTCTTACATGTACTTATTCTATACTTCTTATCTGCCTTAGTTGAAATGCCTTAGAGTTGACTCTTGCAATAACGTTTTTTTATATTTCCACGAAACATGTTGGCATCCAATGAATATCCCATTTGACGAAATTATTTGACATTAATGACATTAACCCTTAAGTCAACTAAATGACCTCTAGGAGTTTTTTTTCAAGAACAAGACTAGAAGCACTTATTGAACATCCCGACCATTTAGTTTTAAAATATTTCAACAGAATTGACACTCTGTAATATGCTCCCATCAACCAACTCCAACCTTGTAATTCTCTAAAACAATTTTGAACCAAAGATTTCAGGAAATACTTCTTCACAAGTGGATGACGATGAAGACTTAGACACGCCACAAAATGATTATATAACCATAAATCATATCCACATCAAGATTAAGGATAAATCAAAACTAATCATAAAAACTTCCAACAGGGAATATGAATGAAGAAAATGAAAGCAATTGCACACATGACTGAAAGTGTTCTCTGAAATAATCTCCCAAAGGTTTTTGAATTTGGTATTTCGAGGATGGTCACTCACTTAGGCTTAAAGTTCTGGAGCCAGTCCCTTGGTAACAGAATGATCACTTTTTCAATATATACCAAAAGCAGAGGTCAAGCCTTGTCTGCTCACCAATCGGCAACTTTTATCAGGAATAGGAAACATGTTTTATTATCAATATTTAACATTACCAATGTATAAATAAAATGGAGGCCTCATGATATATTCAGCACCTTAAAATGAGTAAAGTGCATGTATGCTGAGACTATGAAAGGTAAGAATTGATTTATTTCCACTCATATAGCCTTTGAAGACATGTTGACTTTCCTTTCAGTTAAATATTTTTGTAGTCATCCAGTTACTATATTAGCTGGATGACTACAAACATGATGCTCTGAGTGCCCGATGGTTAGTACTATCTTACATGTCAGCATTGTCCACAGGGTACAGTTAGGACATAGCAGTAGATGCACACCCTTTGAGAAGGCTGGATCTTTTTTCATGTAGGGGAAGAGGGTTTTACCATGGGCAATTTCATGCTAAGGTCAACCCTGAGGCCAAAATAAGAACTGTATAAATATAGCATGCTATGAGCATACATTGAAATATATAGGGTCATCAGAAAAACATGCTCAGGTTTTTACTGCTCATATTTCCTGAACTATCAATACATTGCCAACAACATTATACAGGGTATGTGGTATCATTCAACACGTAAAGCTTGGAAGATTCGCATTGTATTGATACTATGCAGTTCCAGTGATAATTTCGAGAAACAGTAGCAAATAAGCTAGCATATAGTACAGAGCAGCAGTGTTTATGGTGAAATTTTTTAAATATCAAACTGGCAGCATTACTCAAGTGTGGTTTTCGAAATGAATTTTGATGCAGGGACATTCCAAGAATAACTGCAATAAACAGGCTGGGAACGAAATTCGTAAAAATTGGTAATATGAAGGACAATAAGGAAGGAAATCCTGGTCGATTCGGATGTGGATGTTCAACACAATACTCTCTTGAACTTAATTTACCTCTGGTTTGTTTTTTTATGGGGACTTCAAAAGGCTTAATATCTACAGGAATAATTCACATACAGTCGAATAATTAAAGGCGGAAATCAGGATTGTCGTGGAGAGCATTAATCAGCAAATACTCTTCATGGTTATCGAAAACCTCAGCGAACGCCTGCAGAACATAATGGATGCTGGAGGCTCCCACAATGAACATGTTTATTCATAACTAAAAACTCCCATGCATCCTGCGTTTCGTATGGTATAATTCCAAATTCCATGTGTATTATTTAAGAAAATACATGCGATGAAAACAAGAGCGTCCTTTTCTGATGACCCTGTAGATATTAGCATATGATTGAACAACTAAAGCGTTCAAATAGCAATTCCCCAGGAAATGTGGATGGTGTAAAGTGTTAACTCATGGATCCGCTTATTTTATTCAAGTATTTGCTCTTAAAGGACTAGTTTTGGGGTATTGAAACCGAACTACTACTATTAATCAGATGTAACCATGAGCAAGATCATATTTAGATATATTAAATAGTTAGGCACAGTCTCATGCAGCTTTCTCTCATAAATTTAAATAATAAAGACTACAGAAGAATAATGGGAAAGAGTGATGTTAGTCACACTAAATAAATAATTTCCTTTGTTGATACCGATCGGCAGATATTCATGAACGTAACATTTCCTCTTCCCCCAGGTCCAATTCCTTCTCATGAATATGTCACCTTATTTTTGGGAGCCTAGGCTCAGAAAGGGCATGACTAACATAACCAGTCAATTATCCTCTCTTGTTCCATGCATGCCCATTATCAGGTACTCTCAGGGCAGGACTTGCGCCCCCCCCCCTCGCCCCCATAATTAAGGTATGTTCACACCACGATATGAGCTCTCACGCGCGAAAAGTTACGCACAACACTTAGAGTCCGGTTTTCCTTCGTGCGAAGGAGAGTAACTAAGGATGTCGCCGTTTGGGTCACAATCCATATCCATATATTTCACTCATAGGCTTGCACGCAAAATGACGGAGATAGTCTTTACGGGCAAAGCGGACAGGGTTGTGATCGATAGGAAAATGTGCCGATAAATGTAAGAGCGAAGATCTCACTCCGGGGAAGAAGTCATCCTCCCTTCATTGGGATAAAAATGGACTAGCAAGGGTTGTACGTGGGGGCACGTAAAGAATGGGAAAGAGGGACTGCTGCTAAATGCGATGAGAGGGCCACTTTTAGGGCCGCCAAATGAACTTGGGATTTCTTGCCGAAGAATTCGTGGAAGTCTTCCACGGGTCAGCTAATCTGATTCTAATAGTCTTCGGATTTTATGGAAGCCACATCCATCATGATCAAAGTTTTCTGGCTCGTGCTCCCAAACCCGAAACTACGGCTTATTTCAAAGTCGAAAAAGGTGGGGCCCGATCTCCACAAGTCTAACTTTGTTAATTTTTTATTTTAACCCTTATCTAGTTGCGAGGAGTCCATTGGACTCAATGGCTTACGTTTTCTGCCTTATTTTGATTTATACTTACGAAGGAAGCATGTTTAATTCAATGTGCCTATTAGTTGTTGGAAGACAATACTTTACCATATCTGAATTTATTTTTATTTTTGTCGCACGTGAAAATTTTCGCATGCACTTTTCTAATGTAAACGGGCAAGGGGAGTCCACTGGACTCATTACATTTTACATGCACGTTTCGCGATGGCTATCTCCTCTTTCCGGTTCCCACTCACAACAATTTCGCTGCACCATCTCGCTACAACAAAGTTATGCTAGGAAGACCGCTCAGTTTTAGGCTACTCGGAAAAATCCGCTGTTGTCCCTAAACATTGACTAATATCTCTACTCTGTGGTGAAACTTGAATGCAGTGTTTGATATTCCACATGATCGAGTAAGCCTCGCTCCCATATGTGGTTTTCTCGCTGTTCCATGTAACCTTAAATAATTTGGGGGACTTGTTCCTAGTGGCGTATTTATGGGGGGTTAGGGGGGTGGTAGTGGCTGCCGCCTCCCTCCACCCCATCAAGTTTGTCAGCAATTTTCCTTTGGGAAAATTGCTGGCAAACTTGAGAACCTTTTCATGAATAATCCGCCGATCTTCTTTAATCAAGTCATCAACCCGAATCTTGTGAGATTTGTCGCTTGCCATCACAGGTCTCCCACTTCGCTGTTGTTCACACAAATCCGCTTTTCCTGGTTCACCATCTTTACACTTTTTGACCCAATGACGCACCGTGCTCTCGTCAACACATTCATCACCATAAACAACCTGCATTCGCCGATGAATATGAATCGGAACCACTCTTTCCGCTGTCAAAAATTCAATCCCTGCACGTTGCTTAGACCGCGATGACGAGTGGTCATGGGAAGCCTCCATTTTGACTGCAACGAAAAACTGCAACGTTCACTGTAAAGAATCGCCAATGGCTGAGGCGCCAATGAGTCACAGAACGTGTCAAAACTTGTTTCACGTTACTAGCGCTATCTGTTGAAAAGTTATGGTAGTAGAGGCAATACTTTCCATTCAACCCTCGTACAAAATACGTACTTCAGAATACGTTTCTTCTTCGCTGTGTACGGGAGGCTCCATTTCCCTCGAAACACACAGCATTATTTGTCCACTTTTCACTTTACAGACATGTCTGGCTTACATAGCCCTTTCAGACCCCGTGGCATGTACACATGCCAGACAACAGAAATTTGAAACCCCTGCTCAAATTACTTCTACGTCGTGATTGACGCTGTAAGCAATATCAGGATAAAAGAGAGCTCCCGAAAAGAAATGTATGCGCCTCATTAAACTGAGCCTGCATCGCAGCAGGGCCTTGTGAACTTGGCGCTTCTGGGAATATAGCCGCTCTCATCGTCTGCGATCATAAAAGCTATTGTCGAGTGCTCATTATTTCCCCATAAATTATGATACACGCTGAAGTGCATTGCCTAATAGTGTACACTACTTATAAATCTTACCTATCACAATTGGCATGTAACTTTGCCTTGTTGTCTGAAGAGGACAATCATGAATATAAGAAACGTGACACTTGCTACCCCACAGGTGACTCGTACAACACGTGTGCATATATCGACTCGCACGCTGCTACAGCAGCAGCATTTCGGCTGCAGTGCCAGCGGCGGCAGCATCTGCGTCGTTCGAGATCTCACGCCTGTCTTCATGGCTCACCCGAAAGCTACCACCTTAGCTGCGCTCTGCTGCTGCTCAGAGGCAAAATGAAGCCGGTTGCGTCTCCTTGACTGCTGGGAGTTGTCAGTCGTCCTTCTCCACTCGAATGTTGAACTATTCAGTTCTATTCAGTGAGCTGACTATTCAGTGAGCTGACAGCCCTCTCCTTGCGTTACCTGAGTCAACCAGTAGACGCCATCGTTTAATTAACGATGGTGAAGGAGGGAGTGAGGGCGCCTTCGACTCCTCCTCGAGGTTAAACTCGTGCGCGAAGGGTACTGAGAGCCAATCCAGGCGGAAAGTGTAAGAAAAGAGGCCTTATGCTTGTCACTCGTGATATGAGGGTTTTCGGCAGAGCCATTATTTTTTACATAGAGCCGATCGACATAGATGTAACCTATCTGGGCGACGCGGGCTCAGCGATCACTGCACAAGATAGCTTCACCTGCGGCAACTTGTTCATGGTGGGTTTCGTTGCTGGTCATCCGCTTGGCTCATCCAGTCCAGCTTGAACTTCAGCAGCCCAGCGCTGTACCATCCTGAGAGAAGGCCCTTCTGCGGCATACACTTTCACCGTCTCTACATGTGCTTCCGTTGCAATCTTGTCTTGGTTGAAATTGTTATGGCTGCTCCTACCTTGATAGCATTCATTTCGATAGAATTGTCTGTGGATGGAAATATTACATTTAATTCAAACCTCGAAGCAACAGAAGTCCGGAAGTTAAATACATAGCGTGCGCGATACTGACAGCTAGCAAATGGGAGCAACAATTGTGTGTGTGCGTGTGTGACAGCTCAACAGGCCAAACGCTTAGAGATATGAAATTGGGGTTTCGACAGAACTATTCCTTATCATCCGAGGATGTGCCTTTACAAAATAAAATTTCCGAATCGGCCACAAGAAAGGGAGCGGATGCAACTTTCACGGAAAATCGGAGATTCGCTCTCGTCTTGCCATCTCTCGGAAAAACGAGGAGACGAAAGTTGCCGCTGTAATCGCAAGGGAACTGCGGCATCCCTCAACGTGATGCCTCTCCCCTACAGCCGGAAATCCAGGGATTTTAAGCGTCCATGATAATATAGGGGTAATATTTTTCTTCAACTCCATTCGCATTCGCCTCCTTCTCTCAATTCACTGACCGGGTGCGAAGATAATCACGGGTCAATGAGACCTGTAGGCTTCATACATACTATTAGGTAGCCCATGCAAAAGCACAGAAGTATAATATAAATATTTAAAGGCGCAGAATGCGCACATGGCCATGGGAGGCGCTTGCCAAACTCCCGCCCCCCTGCCCTCTGTCTGGCCATGTGAGAAGACAGGACGCGACAAAATCACTTCTAATTTATTGGTCTGCACCTGCGCTTCGTTAATCGTCACTTCGAAGGGGGGGGGGGGGGGGGAACCGACGCCGGGCGAAGACGAAGGGTAAAGGTCTGCACCTGCGCTTCGTTAATCGTCACTTCGAAGGGGGGGGGGGGAACCGACGCCGAGCGAAGACGAAGGGTAAACCAAAGATCAAGTCGTTACCTTTAAATCGTCGCCTCGTAGGACAATGTGGTACGTGAGATTTTATTGGCAGCCTCACGCAACTCACATCGCAACCAGCGCGCACGTTTAATGGCCTCATGCCACGCTCCGTGTACCTGTTAATATGGCTATTGGAGAGCCACTGATCTAATAAATACATGGAGATGGCGCACCTGTTGAAAAAGTATAGGCCAGGGGCAGCCAAACTTCCTGACCTGACGAGTCGCATAACGAAATCTTCATATGGCCGAGAGTCTCAAGACATACACTAATACATATATATACACTAATACATGTATATACACTAATATACACATGCATTCTTTTCAATTTTATTCCAGCATTCATATGTTTACAAAAGATTCACATCCACTCATTGCAACACTAGTTGCTGCTGGACACCTTGTGGATCTCCATCCTGGAAGTGAGTAGCTTGAAGTCTGGCTGATCTGATGTCAGGGCTGTATGGAAAAGCTCCGTGAAGTGTTGATCTGTAAGGACCGTACGGCGTTTCGATTTGACGAACTTGAGCACGGAGAAGAGCGACTCGCAGCAGTATGTTGTACCAACTATTGATATGAGTCGCCCACTTGTCTTTTTGAGATGTGGATACTTCGATCCTGGCACGTCTTTCCAGAACTCGATTGTAAACTCTGATTTATGCGCCATCTTAACACGTTGACGACCAGCCTATTTTTGCTTGTCCGCCGCGTGGGACCACACCAGAAAACAGTTTTTTCCGAGTTTTT